ATGTATTTAGAGTTTTTTCTCTCTGTTCACTAATGGATTGATAAGTGGTTGGATGCATGGGATAGGGGGGGGGGGGGGGGGGGGGGGGGGGGGGGGGAAGAGGAGGGGGGAACCGAAAGGTCGTACGAACCCTCCGAGAAAGAGAACAAAACATCTCAGCTCACATGGCACGACTGGTATTCGAACCCCGCACCTCAGGGGAGAGATGCCGTGAGCATTTTACCACCATGTCATCCTGACTCTTTCAGACTAAATATGTTGTAATTTAATAGGTTGTAGCCGTGCCTTTGCGAACTGAATGATTGAATTTCGTCCTACTTCGGCTGCAACGGTTTAGGCTATCAACATCACAAGATGATATATGATTTGCAGCAAAGAGCGATAGCTAGTTGATTTCATGTTAATAAATGTGATCCAAAAGGAATGAATGAATCACGAACAGGAATCGCTTTCTCAAAGGAGCAAAATTTGTCTTGTGATGGATTTTTTAAATGTGGTATCTGAGTATGAGTCGGATTCTTTTCCCATTTATCGTGTTTGGATAGGAGCTCTCAGCAACGCTTGATTCATAACGCCTTGCAACGCGTGCGGTAACGAAACCTGACGAAAGAAAAATGCTTTACCACTATGGTTTTCTCTTTAAAAACCACTTGAGTTGACTATAATACCGTCTTGGAACCATTAAAAAGCTATGTCGTTCTTCCCTGATTAGTTCAAATGCCCGCATATTAAATGTATTATAAATGTTGATTTAGTTTTAATGACTTGTGCAGGGATGGTGCTGCAGGCCAGTGAGGGTGGGTGTTGATTGCTGTATTTGCTGAATTACATTTAGATATGCATATAATAGTGCAACATACTTGTGTCCTATTTCATGTGCTATTGTATATGCTACCAAGAGACCACTATCTTCGTTAATATTACAACTTTTTCGTCTCGTGCAGAGGCCGTCTACTTGAGCCAGACCTGCAAAAACATTTAGGAATTTGACAGTTGGTATGCACGACAAATCTTTGAACATATACGGGGCAAAAATGCGGCACTAAATGCAATGTCGTGAGTAACAGTCTAATCTATTAGTAAAGCCAAAAATGTCAAAACTAATTCGAGCAAGGGGCCCGTGAGGAACTGGGACCGAAACTAATAACCGCTGCGGAGAAGACTATGAATTGAGGGGGGTCGCGTTTTCGCGCTTAAGATTTTGCCAAAAAATCAGTAGGAACTGCGTGAAAGAAAGCAGTCAATATCGATCGATCATCCAATCAATCAATCAATCATCCAAGCTTTATTTGTTCGCACAGAATTTTTCAGTTATCCTTTAATATACGGAACAAAATATCTCACACATTTAAGCGCTTAATAAAATAATTCGTAGGCCACTGTATTGAGCTTCAGTTGGATGTTGTGAACCAATCTTTAGAAAATTGCAATAATGTCAATATATGTCCGAGTGACACCACACTTCAAAACTCTAGATAAGACTGAACAACCTACTAATAATCACTCACCAAGAGTGCCACAGGGCTCGTTAATTCCTTTGCAGATATCACGTCTGTGAAAAAAAAACATGACTCAGTCAATGGCATATTTTGAATCCTAACGCTGAAGGGTGTTGTATATATGCTAATGTTTTAGACTTTGTCGTTTGTTTTGGCACTTCACATTTCAATACGACCCTTGTAAAGCCGAAAATGGGGTGGAAGTTTCCCATTAAACGAGCTCTTGCTACGTGCACGATTCTAAGCTAAACAGACCGACTGCAAAATGTAATCTTTTTTAATCTTTAAAAAGATTTAACAGATGGTGATAATATGCTTTTCTTGGAAATGTTTTCGATTTGGATAGAAAATTTAATAACTGGCATTCACTCTTGCCATATTGCAAATAAGTTCTTGAGATGCTAGATGAAAAAGACTCGATAATATTCTTCTTGTGAAAATGGGTTTGCAAACGGCTAGATTCAGTCAGACATTTTTGTCTTTGGAATTCCCTCAGTAATTCATCATAAAATGCCAAAAGCTGTGGTGGCCTTTATCATTTTGTTGAATGTAAATCAAGTCAGTCTGATTGGTTGTTTAGTCTGAAGGACGACAATATTTGATAAACGCATATCAAATCTGCACAATTCCCACGAATATTATAATTTCTATGTGTTTGATCCATTTCATTTCATGCCTTGTGTGTTAGGAGGGCAGTTGCAATAGTGACCTCGGATGTCAAATGTATAGTTAGATAATGATGGCAGGGACTGATACAGATTATTATGACCGACTATGAACTAACCTTGTCACAAGTATAGCAAGATCATGATGRTTAGGGTGGTTATCAGATTTAGGATTAACAGACGTGGACCATCGACAGAAGCTCACTAAAGTGTCATCTGCATGATGTGTTACATTCAAATCCGGCTGTAAAAGAAAAAAAATGCAATAAGACACTTAGCTAAGTTTTCTTGCGGGAGATTTCTTAGCCCTTGTCGTCTTGTTTCAATACTGATACGTCTTCATTTCTGTCATTTGCTTGAACACGTGGTCTGTAATGAGGAACATTCTACCCTTCGATTGCACGTTGCTTCATCGCGGCCTCTCGGGAAAGAGATTTCTCATTAGCATCCATTGTTAACGACACCAAAATGGCCGCCAGGTTTTTGTTTTTTGACTCTCTTGGGAATGCTTGCCACCCATCAATAGATAGGGGACTGTTTTGGTTTTGGAAGTTCTTTTTTTCCTGTKCTTAATGTAATAGGTGTTTTGTAACAATTAACTGAATACGTGCAATATATAGATACCTGGTCTTCTTTCAGTATTATCAGTCGTACCACMACTATGTTGATGGCATTGCCGATGCTCGGGTCACGATATATATTATTCACCTAAGAGGCAAACCAGAGAAAATATATCCACTATAAAACAAATGATAAACTAGACATGAAAGATCTTATCAGGACCTTGTGATTAATCCTCCCTCATTTTCTCAAATCTCTTTCAACTTTTGTGCATTGATCACGAGGTTATTTCCCGCCATATTGGAGGGCAATTATGTTTCTAACCCTCCAAGATGGCAGATGACCATCATATGAATATTGCCTATTTTTGTCATTTCCCCTACTTTTTTTACGAGATAATATGAAATGCAAAATCATGAAAAATTTCCAAGAGTGTCTGGTCCATCAYATTCTACCTTTAGAATATAGCCAGCTTCACTTCGGGCATCTTGTCTTAGAATCTGAGATAATAGACCTCTTTACCTTTGGCGTGATGTTTTCCCATTTCAGGCCATTCATTGCCATTCTCTTTTGAATAAGATTCTTTGTTTGAGTTGTATCCATATTCATGTGTCTTCTCGCGCGCGACCGTTAAACATAGACACGATACTATACTTATGGGGAATGACACGTGGTCTGACATGAAAAATATATATATATCTCCCCAGGGTAAAGAGAAATAGTTCTTCTGTTCTTACCATGTTCATAACGGTGAGGACATAGTTCTCCACGTCATCTTTATGAAAGTCATACATAGTCTTGTCAGCAACCACCAGTGCCTCCACATTACGCTCACTTGATATTGACCGTCGTTGACGATCATGACTGTACTCACGTATCAGTTCCAGATAAGGTTCCTTTTTACGTTGAGCTAGCGATATTTTTTCTAAATAAAGAAATTAATAATCTTACATAAAAGCATATCTTACATAAATTTAAGGAAGAACAGATTATGTAAGGTTTTGAGGACGACAACTGCGCATGCTCAGATCATGTAACGTTTTGGCTGTGTAGACATATGTTGCCGCTTACCTTGAGTATCGCAGCCTGGCCTTCCATCAACTGCTGGTTTAACTGCTGATCGTTTGTAAACAAGGTGTGGATGCTTGACATCGTGTGTTTTATTAAGATACCCACGTACCGGCTCAATGAAAATATGATCACCATTAGGATCCTGGATAACACCTTCCTGTAGTATCAAGAAAAAATACGTACTATTAATGGTTATTTAGCGCTATTAGAGGTCTCTGTAGGTGTGGCTTTAGACTTATGTCAATAAACTGATTAACTAACCAACTAAAATAATGAATATATTGGTCATTTATCATCTGCAGTCGGTCCGTAGTGAATAGGTTTTGTCCGAGGTCATATTCCAAAGTTATRGTCAAATACTCTAATTTCACACTTTCTTTTACCGAGCGTTAGCAAACCTTGGTTTCAGGTTAAGAATATCCATGCGTTTAATTGAGGGAGCGTTGAACTTYAAAGTATATGAGATTTTGAAGAGGAGGAAAAACACATCTCTATGGCAAAAGAGAAATTTAAGAGAAATTTTCTGTCGAGCATATGGAATAACTTTCTCACTACACGTTTTAGCGGAGCTCCCCCGCCAGAGCGGAGCATCATACTTGAGAAAAAAAGTAAACCCATCGAGTTGATTTTTTATGGYTTGGCTGACGTCACTTCCGTCCGTCCGTAAGTACGTCCGTCCGTGTACACAACACGGAGATCCCGCTTGATTTCAAAGCCAGACCAACAACAGATTTAAGAAAACTAGTTTCATGTAGTCAAAGATGGATCAAGAAGTATTCTTCAAGAATTCAGGTCTGTGTTTGTAGAAAACAATCGCGGCATTTTTTTACTTTTCTTCATCGCGAAGAAGAAGAAGAAATTGAAGATTTCCCCCCGATTTTATTTTCAACTTTCAGTTTTATCTAAATTGGCCTCCCTGTGCATAGTGGGAGCTCCGCTTTTATGCAGTGCCTAAATTAATATTATCTATGTCTGTCTGTCTGTATGTCTRTCCCCCACCGATTCAAACCATATAGTGGATAAAAAAGCCCCTTTATTTCTAGTTCCTAGTGTTCGTGTTTATAGAAAGAATGTCTGGAATTCCTTTGTACTGTTACTTGTAAATAGGATTCTAGAACCAGCAAGACAAACAAATCTTAAAATGCGAGGCAAAGGTGAAACCAAACAATGTCGCTGGATAACTTGAAACGAGTTAGACAAATAGTATGACATAAAACTAATGCCATACTTCGGCTAGCAATGCAAAGTATAGATACTTGTGGTCGTATTAACGAGGTTGGAGTTCAAAAATATCTGCAAGTCTGTACCTGGGTGCGACTAAAACAGAAGGAAGAATGCTCTGACTTATCTTCTTCTATGGATTTCTAATGCAAGGGCAGGAAGGTTATCAATAATACCAAGTGCAGAGATAAACACGGCTTGTATTATTGAGATAAGATGGAACGAGAGATGCGAGTCCGCCAAGAACTACGAGAAATCACAAACAATCCACAAGAGCTCGGGATGAACGTGAATTATAAGTATGGGCGTTGACACAAATTAGATACCTGAACTCAAGAATGTCAGTTTTGAAGGATATCCGTTAACGCTTTAGCATCGATATCAACCTTTTAACCAAGATTACTGAGAAGTTCAAACCTAATTGCAAGATCAAAAACAACACGATACTGAGTATCTTTTTCTCCTGACTTAAAAAAACATTAAAAGAGTCTTATCCTTTTCCCCCCAAAAAAGAAATGTTGTTGGCTTAAGGAATTGTTTGAACAAACGTTTTGAATAAGAGTTAATTTACGAGTGATATTTTGTTTATTCTAGATTCGAATTCCTTAGTTAATTTCATGGTAAGAAGAGCAAACTATGAGCTGTTTTGTTTTTCTRCATAAAAATTCATGAAGAGCTTGCAGTTTGATAATGAAGTGATGTTTCAAAACTCCCGATGCATTGCTTTGTGCTCAAGTTGGCRCTCATTCATTAAACCGCTGAATGTCTTTCACTGCAGCTGAAAGCGTCTCCTGTGTTCATGTGTTATCATCATTCTCACCATCATTAACATATCACACGATAATGGCAATCGCTTGAGGAAACAAAGAGCAATTCAATTTTGAGGTAAATTTGAATTTTTTCTTAAGGCGTTGACCTATTAAGATGCTGGTCATGATACCTGGAATATGAAATCAATGAACAATTCATACTTGTATCCTGACTAATGCAAAGAACATGGGGGCCTGTTTTAATGTTCGCAGATGAAACCAGTAATGAATGGATAGCATCGATTTCATTTCTCGTTATTCTTTTAGAGATAACTGGATCAGCAGATCATATCTTGATTTCATTCGGTACCACTCGTTCTTTCTTCGCGGTCACTTTATGACCTGTGAACTTTAATTCATTGGTCTAGAATGGAGTATAGAATGGAGTGTAGAATGTGCCACATTACCAGCCACCAACCAACATGTCCGAGTCGGTGCATTTCGTTTACAGATCTAAACCTTAGAGAAAAATGTTTGATGTGAAAACAAAAGGAATATTAAGAAGACATACGACTACCCAATGAGCAGAAGTATGTGTTGTGAAGAAGGTGCGGTAAGAAATATGACAAGGAGTGGGAACGAAAGAGGGCAAAGTTTATCGAGATAGACGTGACGATAGAAGCTTCATTGAAACTAAATAAGTTAATCCACAAGTATAACGAGTTTTAAAAATATAACAGCAGCTAAGAATAGAAAGGTTAGGGATAAGAACTACTTGAAAAAAGAAAAGAAAGACAAAAGAGAGAAAAACCATTTTTACACCGAAAAATTAACACAGGAGAAAAATATGTTCGAGAATGATTATCTTGYCGTAATGATGTTTTCAGATCCAATCTAGGAACAGAACCATTTCCTGAACATTCCCAAGTGCTTTAGTAATGACATCAACGCAAATCTATTGACTGTTGTCAAAACACAACTTTTATTTGCAAAAATGCAGTTTCAGTTTCCGGTCACTTTGTAGGCAAATTGGATCCAGACGAAACCTTTCATCGCTTCGAAAGTTGTTGTCAACAATTGGRTTCCCAAGTTAACCATCTTTAGATAAACGTTTCTTTCTGATCCTTTAGAAACAGCTTACAATAATAAACATCTTTTTATTGCTGTGTATAAGTAAGGCTATTGRCCATGCGATAGATTTAGAGCGTCGTCAGAAGGCTATATTGATGTTTTTATTTTTCAATAATGAATAGTTTCATGTTTCATTAGTTTTTAATAGGACCTTAGCTATTCATTCTCTTGGAATGCCAACCAACTTGTGGTTTAAATATACACATATGATATTAAGATATTAAAACAATTTAACGGTAGACAAGAGAGGGCAAAGGCCTTGCACGCCGTGCTGTGAGCCCAAGTAGCCGGCGCAGTGTCACGCGGTATCCTGCATATCATTGTAAACAGTATTGAACGAGCTTTTCCAATTCTGTCAGTTTATTGGTTTTSGAATTGTGTGTGTGCTGTTATTTGGGTGGTAATTACGTGAAACAAAGGCAATTTATCCCGGGTTTGGCTTTACATGTATAAACTTACCAATCCACGACAGTTGCTCACAAACACCGTCGAGCCAGGCTGATCCTTGAGGCGCCCACTGAAATGACACYTGTGATTATGTTGTCTTAAACGTGTTCCTTCTTGGACGACAAATCCAGGTGCAATAAATTTTACATGGCGCGTCAAAGCCAAATGAAGTTCTTTACCRAATGCAGGTATCTTGTACTGGATGTCACTCGCTTCCTCTGTGTCACCTTCTTCAACATCATGATGTACAGCATGGGAAATAAATGTACCATCTTTATCCACTTTAGTTGGAATCACAATATCGTAGTCGTKTAGTTGGTTGATAAAATTGCCTAGAGTGTTAAAAGAAAGAGAGTTGATGAATTCGAATCTCATAAGTGATTGATATTTAAGAAGTCCATCGACAAGCGCTTTGGTAATGCAATCATCATCATCATCAAAAGTATTTTAAAACAAAGTAAAAATATATACGTATTTTCTCCAATGTAAAGTTATCTTGTAAATTAACCAAGAATTTGAACTCACCTTGGTTGTGATCTGGAATCCCATGCGAATTCTTCAATAAACCATAAACCAATTGCAAGTGAACTATAATCAGGAGTAAGTCTTCTCTTGGCAACCGCATATCGGCGAAGTCTAGAATAAAACATGCACAAAATGAATACATCAACACAGCAATTTGATTTCGAGATTTCCATCTAACAGAAGATAGGCAAACAAGAAGTGTTTTCTGTCTGTTTCGTAAATACTTAAATTCCCCATGCTTAGGGCGCAATCTGCTTCGCAGAACACGCTGTTGTCTTTGCCTTATAACCAGTTATCAATACCTCGAGAATAGCAAAAGAAAGGTGGTCGTTCTCACGCGTATCACAGCCAACCGCTAGTACTAGTGATTATCATATTATGAAAATAGCGCCTCTAAATCTGATACTAGTTGATGATTGCAGAAGATAAAATAGGTTTCTATAGTGGACATTGTTTATACTTACACTAGAGGGCAAGGGCATCAATCCACTAGACTCAAGCACTGCGCTACACAACAGTAACTTCGATTGAGTGTTTTCACACGATGCCGACTAAAGTATAGATTTATCCACACACGTCACAAAGTTTTAAAATTAAAATATCTTCAGTATCGGATTTCAACATGAGAAACAAAATACTCAATAAAGCGGAATCCCGACTATACCCTGGACCCTGTCAAAGTCACACATTGAAATCTCCAATTATGCAAATGAGTGTGCGTTGTTTGACAGCGAGAGTACACAAGCTATTGAATGGGGCAAAGACTTGAAAGACCTGTACACAGTTTTACAACTTGATGAGATTTCTTTTGAACTGAGATGTTTAGCTGTTAAGACAGCTTGATGATCCCAACGGAATTATTCTAAACAACGGCTTTTGTTTTATCAAATGATGACCCCATATTACTTCAGGTCAGTTGAACGCGGCCAAGCCACCCATTTTTTTTTCAAGCCAAATGCCCAGCCAGCCTATACAATGAGGGGAATTTTAGACAGCATGTATTCTGAGAAGACAATACATAAACAGCACTCCACTAGTAACAGGACTAAAGATGTAGTCTTACAACTATGGCGACCTATGGCGTGCCTTTTGTGTTTTTTGTTATACTTTCTACTTGTGAAAAGTAAACTTTCTTCAATTGACAGTGTTTAGACAAATCCAGGGGAGGTAAATATACTAGTTCGATCAAAGCACTTAGCTAATAAATCTAGACTAAATAAAACTTAATCTTCAAATGTTAAATTTCTTTTAAAGGAAAATGGCTGACATCATTTAGCTTTATGTCTGAACGTTTTTTCAATCAATCAACTCGTTTTTTATTTTAGTTCTAGTAAGAACAGTTTGACTTTACTGAGTTATTATCCTCAACAACGGCCCAGAAGCTGAAATTAAATTGAAAGCGCTACCCTCAACGCCAAGACCTGCAGTATTCATGAAAGTGTTAGGATAATATTTAAATTGAAAAAAAATTCTTCGCAAACAAATTATTCTTGTGTCAAAACTTGATTGGGACATTCATTTCGGTTCAGGATATTCAAAAATGAACAGCTTAGCAAAACAAACAACTTGTCAGACGGTGTCTACAACGCCGGCTTGAAAACGGAGAAAACAGCGTTCATTCTGTAATATGTTTTAGTAAACTGTGCATTCAATTTAGGTATCACCAGATATTTCTTCTGATTTCAGTAAGTTACGATGCAGAGCATGAACCTAACAGTGTGAACATACTTCTGTAAAGCATATTTAGTATTTTTTTCCTGCATAGTCGATTGTCGTTAGTCTTTTCGGGTGTTCGACTCAATCTACTTTTCCTCATTTCGTATCACATATTTGCTCACCGTAGGGCGTGAGCATTCATATATAGCATAGTTCTATTCAGCCTGTGTAGCAGCCCAAATTTGGGGAAGGCGGAGGGGGGAGGAGTGGGGCAACCTGTGGAGGGGTGGACGAGGCTAGTGGGTCATTACGCAGGCTAAGTTCTATTAGACTGACCCGCAATAGAGTGATTTTCATATGACCGTGAAAGAAAATAGACCATTTAGTTTGTAATAGTTGATAAAGAACAAAAGAAAATCATTAGTTTAGAGTCTACTACTAACTATTAGTTTGCCTATTCTTTCACGATCATATGAAAATCACTCTAGCTTTTCTATATGATGTATATATTTCATGTTTTTGACCTACTGTTTTTGTACTTGTTTGGTAATTAATTAGCGTGCTTCCATCGAGTTTTGGGTGCAAGCGGGAGGTTGACCAATGCTTTTATGACATAGTAAAACGGTAGGAAAAAAAACTTTGTTGATTTGAAAAAAAAWAAAAAATAAACGAAATCTTCATTAATAGCTGACGCTATGTGAACCATCGATTTTTTGGATGCATGCTCGTGCAACGTACCCTATTAACCATAGGGTATATATAGCATAGAATAGGATTCCTTTTTCTGTGACATAAAAGCTCTTTAGTAGCAAAAACTGATCAGTAACAACTGTTGAGTCAGCTTCAGCCTTTAGACTCAAGGCGTATTGACTCGTAGGCCATTCGGGCTGCGAGTCTAATCGTTACTCCTATTCTCTTATATGATGTGTAACCAAATCTGATAGAAATCTTAAGTGATTTTTTTAGGAATCACTGACACGATGCTGTAAGCTAGGCTTGATGTCTAGACACATTTGTGATATTGTTTCTAAGAATTGAGGTCTCTTTTAAGGGCCAAATAACATCAAGAACAATTTATCCACAAAACAGTTCAAGTAGTTAGCATTTACAGTAAGCAAATACCGTTACATTTTTATTTGCTTTTGTTATCTAGCTTTTCAATTACTGTCGTTCTCAACTATCTCTTTCAGTAGTGGCATTAGTGAAACATTTTTTCGCGCCTCCGTCAATTTTCCCTAGGTTTTGCTTGATGATAATCAGTAATTTTGGCAAAATATTTAACCGCTTAGCCCTTTCAGTGGATATCTTAGTTTTCTAACGGTATTGCCTGATTTGTTTGTTGGCAGTTTATGGRTGAACGATTAGAAATTGCAATTATTTAAAAATATGATGTAAATAATATTTCACCATATAAGAATTTAAAAATAAACAAAATAGCTTTTGAAATTAATTAAATTTAAATTTTATCACGTTTATCATACCGGCTCCTCATTTACGGGAGTGGAGAGTCATATCGGTGCTTCTATTTTGAACTTGAGCCAGGTTGGCCATCATGGGTGGAGACCTCGAGGCCGCTCAAGGGCTCCCGCCTTTATTTTTCAAAGCTTTCCGTCTTGTCAGTGTCTGCATGTGCTTCGGTGAGATAAACTCAAACTAACAAACTGCATTACTTTTACTGGTGATAACTTTTGAATAATCATTCAGATTTCCACGTATCAATGACTAATAATAGGCCGTCTAAGATTTTAAAACAATTTCAAGTTAAGTCCATATGTCTCCTGCTTTGATGAATTACAAAGAGCTTGTCTTTGAAGTCAAGATGACGGCCTGTCCAATATCGTAGATATCAGCAAAAAAGAATAATGACTGTACGAACTCACCCGGTTATTTGTTGGTGCGCAAATGGCTTTCATCTGTATTTCTGGACTAACACAAACCCTGATCCATCTACTTCTCATGCTGTTGTTAGAAACCCGGATAGCATACGACGGGGTTATACGTAAAAAATCCCTTAAATTAGTTATCAACGTCAACACAAAAGTCTTACGACATTACCTATCACAAGACGCCTGTTTTGTGTTCTTGGTCTCATGAATTTAAAATAAGTTTTTATCGAGACTTTTCAATAACTTCTTAAAATCTGAATTTTTTTTTGAAACTGAAAAGTACAACTATTTCACTGCCATCATGGAGACTTCACTTTTCAAAGGTTTCTATAAATACTGGAGTGAAAGGTTTTTTCCCTTTGTATTACTTTTTAAATAAGTTGTTCACTCAGATTATGAATGATTCAGTGAACCATTGGAGGCTATTTAAGATCGCTACAAGATAAAGTGGCGTGATGAAACGGTTGAGGTATTTTCCTTTCAGACTCACCATAGAAACCTTGTACAATCATAACCACCTTTCAAGTTTGCGTCGTATTAGCCTCGAAACATATATCAATCAAAACATTGTCAAAATAAATCTTTCCAACAAACATTCATTACACCCAACAACGTAAGAATATCAAACAGATTTCAAAGTTTGTTAATCCACTTTGTAATGCAGTGTCGCTTTTAGGGGCATACCTTAGGTTCTCTAGATATCAAGATAAACCTCTTTCGATCTAGTTTATAAACGTGGTTATTCATTAATCTTTTGGAGAGGTGTACGTTAAACTGAGCGGCTTAGTGTACTAGTTCGTCTTTGTTCGTGCTGTATTATCTAGGTTTTGCTATACAGTTGAACATAATGCCTTTTAATATTTGCACAACAGTTGTCATTTGTTTTGTCTTTAGTTACAAAACTCTCACCTGATTAATCTCCAGTGTAAATAGCAATTAAACCCCTACGGAGAGAAGTCAACCAAACAATTACAGTTCTTGATTTCTTCCAGCGAGAACATCAAACCAGGTCCTGGTGGCAGCTAAACTGAGACAATCTAGTAATGGTTTTTAAGCTAGACGTCGAAGTGTATGTATCGTGAATCAGATAAACTATATACATGGTTGATTGAAGAACCAGTGGTGTGTGGCAAATTCTACCTTCGCTATTTGTATTTACACAGACTTTTGGCCCTATCGGCCATATGGCAGCGTACATACATGCCAAGGAATGAAAAAAGGATTACATGTGTGAATGATTGAGCAATCAAGCTCTGTATTTAAGATAATTAATTCAATCTTTCCAGCAACTAAAAGTATATGAATGATTGTTTTAAGGGGCTATCAATCTTCTGTCATAATGGACCGCATCAAAACTGGCGCCAGGCAGTATACAGCCTTCATTGTCACATAATATCTCGGATCTTACTTTCAAACTTTATCATTTTAGATCACTTACCATTCCTAAGATTAAATAGAGGCTATTACACTGCTAGTCGTATATTACAGCCGGATAAATAACCCATTTTTATTGTAAAAAAGCAAACTTGAAAGTTACGAACTCAAACAACTTACGTGAACCTCACAAAGGAAAAGGAGAAAATTTCCTCGCTAAAACATCAACAAAATAAACAAGTTTCAAAACCGGTTCACAGACCGTGTATTACCAATCTGTAATTGCACGAAAAAAGGTCGTAATACACGGGAAATTGAGTGTGTCGTATTATAATATTCGATATTATGATATTATACTTATTATCTTTATCCGCAAACATTGATAACAATGATTTTATTAATAGATAATGATAATAATTTTATTACTCATATAGCACAAAATTCATTAAAATATATGATCTAATGCGTTTACTTAGTCAAGTTATGATATATTCCAAAATATAAAAATATTTCAGCAATTCCAATTTCCAAAAAGTCACTCTAAATATTGAGAGAGATCTTATATTTATGATTATATGAAGAGCTTCGGAACAAGAAAGGGAAAACAATGATGGACTGAACGATGTAATACATTAAATATACCATTGCAAATAACACAGGCCGTCTGTATGCCTCATTTATTACAACACCAGAAATCCTTGCGCACTTGTTTGTGTCAGATTCAAGGCGACTTCTTTTTTGTATTGCCTTGCAAGTACTAARATGAATTCAAGCTAAGTAAATGCTGTTAACTGTATTATTTTCCAGACCATGATATCCTAAGAATAGTGCGTCCTGATTGGCTGCGCAAGAGGGCCAGTATTATGTGTCTCTCACCGCGGTCCGATATCCGGAGTTATATTTCTTTCAAAAAAATTCCTTTTTTCAAGAATAAAGTTGAAAAATACTTGAAACTTTTGAGTCCGTCGACAAGAAGTCGCTGTTTTGAGTCGCTGTTTTAGACAAGCTACTTGAATCGGATCCCAAAACTATGGAAACATCTTTAATACTCTCCAAATAATTTTGCTGTTTCTAATTTTATTAGTCTGTATTCAGTCTACATTGAAGAACAATCAAAAAGAATGAACTTTAATGAACTACTAATAATAATGTTAGGGTGCACTTAATTTGGAGCCAAGCTCCTTTTTGCTTCCCCCTTTCATGATAGCTTAGGAACTTAGATAATTGTCATGGATAAAGTAATGTGCGAACTAATAAACAACAACGAGTCAAAAGTGTCACTGATCAACTGTACGGAATTCAGTCAAAAATTGTTTTCTTGGTTCTGAATAAATTCYATCATTGGAAATTGAAGAGGCACAAAACGACTCGTCATTTTGTTGACTATACAACAGCTACAAAAAAAAAGCAAATTCGAGAGATTTGCTTCTCTCCTCTCTCTCTCTCTCTCTCT